ACACTTCCTGGTTTCTCACTCTCTCCTCTCCCCCTTGATTGGTTGTTGTTTGCACTCTGTCACGAATTAATTAGATTGAATTCACCTGCCTACTCCTTATTTAAGACTGTACTCCCTTACACTCATGTTTTCATCCTCACATGGGGCGACAGTTTAGCAATGGTAAGGTGGTTTTCACTCCTATTTTACTATTTAGTCCATTTTAATTTGTCCTAAGCACTTTATTTATCTTTAGTTCCTTTCAGAAAGTAATGTAATTTGACTTGTTTATTGTACTAATAGTATTTTATTTTGTCTTTCAGCATGGATGTTTCAATCCCATGTGTGTCTTATGTTACCCTTATGATTCACCTAACTTGAAAGGAAATAAACCTGTTACATAAAAATCCAGTCTTGTTGGATTCCTGCATCTTGACCCAATGCCCCATGGTGATAGCACCTCAAATTTGAACCCTTCTTTACATGGTCCTTCGAGCTGGAGTCTGACTATTGCCATGGATTCACAGCCACAAGATGAGACTCTTCGACGCTCAGAGCGTAAAACTCAATTGCCTTCTCATCTACAAGACAATGAAGTCAATTATCCTCGAGTTAAAGGTGCAGCATGTCAAACAGACTGTACACATCCTGTAACAGACACACATGGGATGCAGGATGAAACACAAGGTGAAGAGCCACAGAGATATGAGCCTGAGAATGAACCTGAAGATTTTGTATATTCTCCCTGAACTGCTGGTGACTATGAGGAATGTCCAAAGTTTCATGGAAAGATCATGTACTCCTTATTCCTCAAAATCTGCATCATCTACAAGAAACCGACCATATGTGGATAACAAACCAACAGTTTCTTCTGCAGATCAGCATAATGTCAGGTTTCCTGGTGCTATACCCAAATAGTACCATTCATCCTCCTGTCCACCAGAGGTTATTCGTCATCCTGTTGCTGTTTCTTCTGCCATACCCCATGTCCCCAATTTATCAATCCTGGATGCTTCCCTCAGCTGGTCTACCTCGACCTAGCCTTTCTTCCCAAGAGTTGCCAGCGTCCTGCTTACCTGCAGCACCCCAAGATTGCAATCCTCAAGTTCCTCATTCTCAGCAATTTAATCCCTTTTTAGAACCTAGACAGCCTCTTGTTCCCCTTTCCCCCCAGCCAGAGTTTTCATCCTCAGTTCTTCGGTCCCCTGTATCTCCTACCCACCAGTGCCAGAAACCCAATGAGACCACACAAATGTCAAAGCTCCTTCAGAAGCCCACAGCAACCAGCGCATATTGTCGCTCAACAGAACACCATATCAGTAAATGTCCAGAGTTTATTGTTATGACAAAAGATCAAAAGGTCAACTGGATAAAGGAGAACAACCGTTGTTGGCGCTGTGCTCGGACTCATCAAGCTGCAAAGTGTGATCTAAAGAAATTCTGTGCCATCTGCAAAGGGAGACATGTGCAGATCCTTTGTGATGTAAATCAGTATCAGTTAAAGACAAGTCCTGTGTCAGACCAGTTGCAAAACTAATTCCACTTCCTGCCCTTCCTGAGGACCTCCTTTAATAATAGTGATATTCCTTTTTTTTTTTTTTCTCACTAGAAATATGGGGAGGCTGTAGTAAATATCACTATTTGTTCACTATTTTGTTTCCTTTCACTTCCTCTTTTTTCCTACTGCACCTCCTTAAAGTACTTTATTCCAGCTTGCCAAAAAGGCGATCAGTATCATCTCCAGCAACAAATGCAACCTACAACCCTGCCAGAGTATACAGTCATTGCATGGTAAGATGTAATTTTCTACTTGTCTTTTGATTCAGGAATGATGTGTTTGCTGTCAAAGGTGTTCAGCTACTGAATGAGGAAGAGGAGGAGGCTGACGTCTTGTAATCCAGGTAAATTTGACTTACATCTCAAACACACAAATATATATTCCGCAGATCACCTTCCGGTCAGGCAAATGCTTGTATTTGTAATTATTTCCATACAAACACATTTCCACTTTTTTTCAAATCGGCAATGGCTGCATGATGCATCATTGCTATTTAGGGCCATTACAAAATGTATTTGAAATGGTACACTGCATTTATATTTTGACTCTTTCTATCCTTTATTGACCTTTATCACATTGATTAAAGCCTACAACTACTGTATGATGTTTTTAAGCTGGTTGGATGAGATATAACTTTTAGTAGCCAGTTTATAAATGTATCTTACCTCACATCCTCAGCAGTAGTGTCTTTAGTTGATAAGGAACCATCTGCTGCCAAACACCCTGTGTCTGAAACAGAGGGAATGTGATGATAAGCTTGATAGTTTTATGAATTATTAAGACATTTTTGCTTTGATGGTGACTCATTTTTACTTTGCTATAGTTAGTTTCAACAGAGTTAGTTTAGACCACTTCTTAAAAAATTGAGTAAGTTATTTATACTCTAAATGGGAAAGATAGAGACGCAGTTTCCCAAACTATCTTAATTATCAAAATGTTCTTAAAATTGTATTAATTCTTATTTCTTGTTTTTCTTGGTTTGCTGATAGTCGGACTAAAACAGTAGTTCTCTAGTAGTGAGGAGGGAAAGTTGACTAAGAGAACCAGTTGTTATTTTTCTGCATGCAAAATTCAGCCCATAATCACTAGGATGTAAAACATGATGCAAAGAAAACCAAACTTTCTTTGGTTTCGAGGGTCCTCTCTCCATTCTCGGCCCAGGTGTATCATACTCCCTACTTCCTTCATTCCTGTTATGTCCCTGCGATTTTCTTATGAGCAACCACGAAAAAAAAGGCAAACATTGCTCCTACCTTGACAAAAAGCAGACACATAAACAGCCTTGTTCCACTTTCCGGGCTGGTTTTCTTCGGGCTGCTGTTTCTTCCGCTTCCCCGCCTAAACTCTGAACACCGGATAGTTCTGCCTGTCACCGGGCTTGACTGGACCTACTGCGCAAACTCAGTGTCTTAAGTTTCGATTTTGGGGAAATTCATCGACCTACCCTCATGTGCACCGCCCTTACTGCAATATCTGCCATGTTTAGTGATCTAAATCATTTGGCACAACTCATGAATAATAAGGGCTCTACAGTCTCCTATTGGCTCTTTAATCGGTCTATATTTGATTTTATTCAATCGGTCAAATGAAGTCAAGTGAATATATTTTACTTACAGTAATTTGTTTGTTCGTTTTTATACTGAACTGTATAATTCCCATAATAACCCTGTGTTTGGTATAAAACATTAATGTTATTAATGTAATATACACTTGTCCACATGTGTATTGAACTTGTATTTGTTGAGGTGCTCACTTCTATTATTTTTGTGCAATCAAATCAAACATTTCAACTTTTCTCCCACCATAATTTAAACTCCAGTTTTCAATCAAATAATCCAAAAGAAAAGTACATACATGCCTCACTACTATAATATAGTATATGGTTTAACATGTAACTTATAGTCCTTGATGAAGGTCCATCTGTGCTCCAGAGAACTATGTTTCTATGGGCTTTGGTAAAATAAACCCAAAATAAGTGAACATGAACGCAGAATGAAACAGGAAGGGGAAACCACAGAGCTTTGGATATGAAGTAGACCTGAAGGAAGAAGAGGCAGAGGAGAAATCTAGATGAGCTACTTTTTTTATTTTCCTTTCCGTCCTACTTTCACTGTTGTTCAATGTAGCTTTAGTATTTGTTTAGTATCCAGATACATGTTCCTTCTTTTTGTGTGGACTAAAGAGAGAATATAGATGTATGAAAGCTTAAGTCCCTGACGTGAGAACATGTCAAAGAAAAACAAAGCTGCTCTAAACTGTGGCAAATCAACCACTGACAACACCTCGGAATCATTGTATAAGCCAAAATAACATTTTCAAGCCACAGCCTAACATTCAGCAAGGAAGGACATTTAATCAGGTACTGTATAAACAAAACAGCACCAGGTGACGTACTGTCATGAGCCAATGGAATTTTTTGTCAGCTTTTCCTTTTATAGCCCTCACAGGGAGGACACGTGACATTCTTACCAGGTACAGGAATCTCTTTTTGGCTCCCGTTTCCGCCTTTGAGCCAAGACATGTTGAACAGAAACCTCTGTACTGATTGGAAAGGGAGACAAAATCAATTTGATTCTTATCTGCAGGATATTTCTTATGATGTCCTGGTGCTCTCTCTCTATTGTCTCTGGCTAAACTTCATCAGAATACATTGTATTCATTGCTCTAAATCCTGATATGTCCGGTTTTTAGAGACATTAATATAAATTGTAAGAAGCCTTTTTGACCCAATGACTTCTGTTAAATATTCAACCTTCAAGCAATCCTTACACTGAAATGAAGCAATGACTCCACGAGCAAAAATGTAGGAATAAAAAAAAAAAGATTTTAATGTGCAAGTTATTAACTTCATGTAAACGCTCTTAAAAAAGTCTTTGTACATAAACGTTCTGCAGCCGACCTGCAAGTTTGTAATCAGACCACATAATCACATGATCATAAGAAAACTTCTGTATTCAGGTGTCACAGTGAACGCCCTTTGGAACCGTCCGCTCTTACCGAGTCAGCACAATAATCCTGATTGACACAAGCGAAGCAATCTAGCAGCATTAACTGGAATCAAGCACATTTAGCATAGTCATTCTTAAAGATCTGTACCCATGCAGCACAGTGATGTTTAAAAAAGAAAAAGAAAGAAGGCACATCGGCCGTATTAATGGATTTAACATCGCAGATCCAAATTGTGAATCAGTCTGTACAAAAATATACATACAGCATCTGCACAGTGAACAGGCTCACTGAGAAATACAACATTGCACAATAAAACTACCCAACAACATCCAGACATGTTTCCCACATTAGAGGCCAAATATTTTAGGGACAAACACTTTTTTGGACATGCTGTTATAAAATACAAAAAATTCTCTTTTCTCCGTCCTGCTACAATATGATATCCAACAACACCCTGTTGGTTTTTCAGACTTCCCGAGGCAGAAGCAGAACTTGTGGACGGTTGTGTCCAGGTGAGCAGAAGGCACTTAAAAGAGGGTGCAGCTGCTCCCACCCGGCAGTGGATCCCAGGCACTGCAGGCCCGGTCCTCACCAGCTTAAAGTGCAGCAGCTTGGCCCCATTTGATGTCCACCCTTACTGGCAATGCTCCCGTCTGTGCTGGGTCCACCTGACTCTGGTCCAGTTCACACTGGTTGTGTGTCCGGTAAGGAAGGATCTGGCAGTGTGTGCAACTCAGACTGCCTGAGAGGATCTGTAGCTGATTCTGAGGCAGATGTGAGATTCACCGTTTGACTGTGTGAGTCCACGTGTGTGGAAAGTGTTAACTCTGCTGGCTGCACTGTCTGAACTGCTAAATCTGAAGATACCGGCTCATCTGGTAATGAAGAGGGCGATGGTCCATTTGTTACCGTGTGATCGACCTGCACCGGCTGTAGAGAATGTGCAGGTTCCTGTGGTTGTGAGGCGTTTGATGATGTGTGTGTTGGCAGGTGTTGAGTGCACGGCTCATTTTGTCTCTGTGGTCTGAGGTGTGTGTATTCGGCTTGTGTTTTTGCATTCTGCTCAGCAGTGGAGTAGTAAGGCAGGAACGGCCTCTCTGATGCACATGTCCGCATGGCCAGGTAGGTGTGCATGAGCAGGTGGGGGAATCGGGAGGTGAAGTAAGAGACGAAGTCATCAGGGATGGAGCCCAGAGTCTCTTGTACCTCTGCAGGCAACTCTCGGTGTTTCTGTAGAGGGAGAGTCACAGTGAGGCAAACTTCACAGACCGCATTCTTTCAAAGACGAAACATGAAAATACATCCCTACCTTGTTTCTCATTGCACGCATCAGGTCTCTGACCGATCCACCTTTATAGGAACGGAACTTCCGCAGATCTGCAGAAGAAAGGAAGACAAAACTCAATACATCAACCACAGAAATGAATACCTGATAATCATTCAACTAGAAACCAATGAACAGGGACACCTGAAAAACAGAGCTAAGCTTCTTTAATACTACACTGTTTCTCAAGAACCCACACACTCAGTCAGGGCATAGAGAGGAAAGAGAGGATTTTGTTTTCCTGTTTCATGTAAAGAGACCAAGAAGAATGTTTTACAACGTCTTGTATCTTCACGTGCAAACTTCAGCCTCGGTCTCGTACCTGTCTGCAGTGGCACTGTGATATGCTCCCTCCAGTCACTCTTCACAACAGCCCTCCCTCCTCTCTCCAGCTGTCTCACGATTGGTCCGTCCAGCGGCTCCTTTTCTATTCTGTCACTCACATCCTGCAAGCAACCAACAAAAGATTATTTTAGAGACTTTCCAGTCGTTCGACAAAAGTCTTAATCACACTCTGACCATTTCTAGAATTTGGTGATCACTGACACATTTGTAATACTGTTGTTTTGTTGACAAAAGTTCTTCACCTTCATAAATCACTTTAATGAATTCATGGGGTTGTTTTTGGACATCCTAGAGACATGTATAGTAGCTTAAGTTAAAATCTGTACAAAACAGCACATGAGTGTATTCAGACACTGGTCACTATATTGTACTACAGTGTGATTTTAGTAAGAAGAGGTTGAAAACATCAGGGACAGCCTAAAAGGAGTCAGTCCATACAAATGAATAGGCACTAAGGCTCATTGCATTTAAAGAGACACCACACCAAAACAGAGCGTTCTGAGAGAGCTGGTTTATACAGGGTCACAAACCTCCTCTGGTGCTTCATGTTATATTTTGACCAAAGCACAGCACAGATATTCATTTAGACCACAGGGACTGTTTGAAAAGGTGGAACAGGGGGATAATATGTCTCTTTAATTTTAAAAACTAACCTGAAAGAACTGCAGCTCCTTCTCCAGGCTCCAGAAGAAGAGTGTTTGAGAATGCTCTCAGCTGCAGGTCTCCTTGTGGCTCCATGCTCAACATCTGCTCTATGAGATCTTTGGCTACAATGTCCCCTGATCATAACACAAAACATACAGCTTCAGAACATGTGTTCAAATAAATTAATTTTTATTTAGCCCATACACAAACATCCTAATAGCTTTACCAAACAAAACACACCGTCCTCTCCTCAGTGAACAACATTACTGTTTTTTCTTTTGAAAAAAGGAATTCCCAGAGGGAAACTAAACTTGAAACAGCATTATGCTTGGACCAATTCAAAAAGTATGTGTATTTCCATTTGTGGGGTGGTTTTGTGGAATGGTCTTGACGAAACGATTAAACAAAGTCTGAATATAATGCAATTTTAAAAAATGTACAAAAGATATATCTTTGAAAAGTACAGAAATGAGTAAGGAGAATGTAAATCTCACAGATGTTAATGGCGCCTGTTCATTTTGTTCTTTTTTTTGTTTGTTTTGTTTTGTTCTGTTTTTCTTAATAGCTCAATTGGAGTATTGTTTTTGTATTGTCCGTTTATTTTATTTATATTGGATTTTGCATTTGTTAATGGTGAAGAATGAGGGTAGGACTTGACAAGCCTGGGCTTCTTCCTATCCCTTTTGAATGAGTCAAATGTGTATTATATTGAAATTGGCTTTTTATTTAATTTTTTTTAATACAGATTTTAATTTTTTTTCCATTTGTTTATTCATTTTCATCTATTTTTAATCGTTCGAAATAAAAAAATAAAAACCTGACCTGCGTGTTTACATGCATTTTACAAGTCCAGTTTGAGTCGGACCAGAAGTGAGCTGCTTCTCCACCACTCACTCACCGGGTTGTCTTTGCAGTCCTCACTGAGAACTTCAGGAGCGATCCAGCCTTCTGTGCCCGGCACGCCGGACCGTCTGCTGAAACTGTGACGACCCACGCCAGCTTCTTACACAGGCCGAAGTCTGAGATCATGGCCCGGACCCGACCGTGGGCGTTGGGCATGGACACCAGGATGTTGTGAGGTTTCAGGTCTCTGTGGACTGAAGGGAAAAATATGAAGGCGAAGTGGAGAAGAACAAGTTGTATAGATATGTTTGTTTTTTTACTAAACAGCCAATAACGATGAGAATGAGATGTGTTGTTGTTCTGTTCTGTTCTGTGGTACCTACCAATGTTGAGAGAATGCAGGTGGGCCAGTCCTGACATGGTCTGCTGAAGAAGCATAACTGGCTCTAGTCCATGACGGTCAAAATCCTTCCTCTCCACATACTAAAGAGAAGAAAGAAGTCATTAACTATGAAGAGAGGTCTCATTCTCACATAGTGTGAAATATGTGGTTGAGAATAAATAGTATCAGGGTTATTCCCTCTTTTGACTTTTTATGAAAACACATAGACACAAAAAATAACTTTACATCAGAGGAGGCCTACAACTGCATTTTAATCACAAAAAACAGGCTTCTTGCTATTGACAAAAGACTACGGTTGAATAAAGGGAGCTTGGGGGGAGCGAGGCCGCACACAGCTCAATGGCGATGTACTGGAACTGCCGTCCCTCTCGTGCAGAAGTAGCGGCTGACGTTCGGGTACATACTGATTTTAGTGGCAACATTTTTGCGATTTAAAAATTGATTTATAAATGGCAAGGAAACACTTTATGCTGTTGTGACATTTGTTTCACTATTCATTGTAACCAGCAGAGGGCGATCTTACTTCATCAGTCACTCAAAGCAGACCATGAAAGGCCCTAAATTCAAAATGTGACAAACAGTACTGAGAGGGGAACTTCTTGATAAAGCGACACAACCATTTTTATTATCCATATGTCATCTTTAGTCTGTGAAACTAATAACCACTTTTCTTGAAGTGGAAGTCTTGACCCCTCTCCATTAACATACCAAGAAAGGTAACATTCCTCAGAGTGGCTTTTTTAAAAAAATATTACTCTATGATTACCTATGAGGAGCAGGTAGTTCTCATGAAGTTGATGTGGTTCCTCTCTCACAGGGCAGCGTTGGAGCAACTCCTTTTTTTGAATAAACTTTATCAGTATACCACATTACAACACACGGGCAAGGAAGTCCAGTGTGAAATTCAAGTCACTATATTAAAATTTTTAATGTCAGCTAAAACAGAAAATAAAAAACATAGTTTAGAAGGAAGAACTAGGCTACACTATGAAAAGAATAGTGTTTGAATGTTTTTTTTATTATTTGGACATCTGTAAACTTTTTGTTTCTGTATACTTTTCAGACAGATTCAAATAATGTCTTCAGTTCAATATAAAATAACTAAGTATAACGTTTATTTATATAGCACCTTTCAATAGCAAAGGTCCCAAAGTGCTTCAAAATAAAAGATTTACAGAGACAAGAAATACAGAGTTACATAAATTCAGACATGGACAGATCAGACAAAGGCAAGTCTAAACAGATGGGTCTTTAACTTTTAAAATTGTCCACAGAGTTCACAGCTCACGTCACCTCACTTCAGATATCAAAAACACACATTCAACTTACCGATAAATAGGCAAAGATCCCTCAGGTCTGTAGTCCACAGCAGTATACATTCATACGTCCATTTGAAGCAGACGCTCCTGGTAATGGAAGTTCTGTGGCTCTCGTCTTTACTGCGTTTCCTCTTGCTGTTTCCCCTCTACTTTGCTAATTTGTTACGAGCATCGCAGCAGGAGCCATATTTGTCAACAGAGCGGTCAATCATGGTTTTCTACACCTATGTAAAGCATCAAATAACTAATTAAATAAGAAACTTATATGGAAAAAAGAGTCCTTGAACACGTCAGAATTAGAATAAATAGCATCAGTCAGTAGGGGGAGCTCTAAATATTTTGGCCTCACTTCAGATGAGAGGTGTTGCAATAGGCCTACCTGTATTGACATTCTTTATACATTCTATGGACAATAAGTACACAAATGTTTTGTATCAGTCAGCTGCAGTTCCTCTCCTTCTCTTTGAACTGTGGCATTCGGCTGTGGGACATGCACTGTAGCCAGAGGTGCTGCTTGTCAACAGGCTAGGCAGGCAACTGCAAGGGGAGAGCTCAAACTCTAAACCAGCTGCCCAAAATGTGAACATTTTACAATGACAGTATAGGAAACCTCCCCAATGGGGGCCTGACAGCATGGCAGCACTTACTTTAGTTGCCATGCTAAGCGTTTCATGCATTGTTGCTGTTTATGAATCATTCGGTGTTTCCAAGGCAACAATAGACATTCTGTCATTGCAGCCGCCTCGACAAGACACGTCCCATTACATCTATAAAATTACAGATTTCTCTGGCTTTGATAACTGTTGGAAACATTTGAGGTCATGTAGGTACTCAATAAAAACATATATATAACATGGGTTTAGTCCATTTTAAATGAAGATATTTAAATGTAAACATTGTCATACAAATACATATTGTCTGTTTTGATGAGACTGTCAATATTATGGAACCTGAAATATTGATAAATATTTTTTCTTCAGAAATGAAAAAACCACAAACCAAAAGAGAATTTGTAAACCAATTTTTACTGAATGTAAACGCATGTGTTACAAATATTTATGAAAAACAAAGTTGGCAGGTACAACATTTCCCTTTGAAGTTAACATAAATAAAGAAATCCCATATAACTGCAGTGTACAAAATGTAAAAAAATGTAATGTAAATGTAAACTGATCGAGAAATAAGAAATAAAACAGGCAGAGATGTAAAAGTTTGAGTAAAGTTATTACAGGTTCTGTTAAGTTGATACCACATGTAGGCCTACACAATCACTATATTCAATATTTGTTTTTTTGCAGCACATCAAAATGAATACACATTATTCTCTAACTAAAGGTGGTACTGTTGCTTTAAGACCAGTTATCGTGAAAGCAAAGACACAAAGCCCAAGGAAGTGAGTCAGACATTTGATAAGTAGTACCTTATAATTCTATTTTATACATTGTATCCTGGATAACAAAACTGAGAGAGCTATTAACATCTTCTTGAAAACATAATCAACAGTGCTTTACATCTGGAACTTCAATTTGTCTTGATTTTAAATCTGACTCCATTTAAAGTCAAACTTCATATTCAGGTCACTAGATTTGAGTCACCAAATGCTTTAAATCCCTTAAGTAGACTTCAGTTTTCATGTGCTCCAGTTAGCACAAAACAAACACAAATTATAAGATAAACTAATTCTGGTTGTTATTTTCATACACAGGAAATCCAAATTTGGTCTTTTCAAAGTCAATAAAAACACATATATACAAATACATAATAATATGTGCATCTAGATATTCTCTTTTGTCTTTTCAATATTGCCTATTCAATGCTACTTCCATGTTCAAGTAAGTTTAAAACAGCCTTGAGGGATGATTGTTCAAAGGCAAACTATTTTTTTACAAGGATGTTGCAGGCAACAGGGCCTCTGTAGGTAAACCCAAGGTAGAAAGTGATGTTCTCATTACTATGAGGCACTGAAGGCACATGAAGAGGTAGGATGTTGAATCTTTTTTTCCTAGGGCCATCAAGGTACACCACTCCATCTTCAGTCCATCCAGACACACGTTTCAGCATCATGGCAATCTCAGGTTTTTTCCATGCCTCACCCCTAAACCACTTCATGCGTTTCTCAGAGACCGAGAACACCTTGGTGACACTTTCAAACTTTTTCTTGTGGACAAATTTATCCAATCCATTCGCACTGCCCAGAAAAAAATGGGTGTAAAGCCTTCTTTTCCTCTGAGGAATGTCCTTCATCTTGATCCAGTAGTCTTTTTCCAGGTGTTCAACTGCTGATTGTACAATTTCATATTTGGTTTCTCTCTCCATGTCCATGTCATGATCCTCTGGCCAGAACAGCAAGGTGAGCAGGAACAGGGCACTTGGTAGGCATCTTCGTTTATCAGATGGGAACTGACGACATAGTGCCTGCAGATTTTTCAGAGTGACCTTTTTAGTATCTGGAGACAGGCAGTTCAGTGAAATGTGGGCCATGATGTAATTGACAATATCCCTTTGACCAAACTTTGCCTTTAATGGATTGCTGGGATAGAGAGAAAGGATGCTCTCTAAAAGGCATACTGCATTCCTCTGATCTGTTAACTTGGAGAGGATTGACGTTACATTACCTCCGCCAAGATGGTAGATGATCATGCGTTTTTGGAATGGCGTTAGATTGGCTGGGATTGATTGCCCCTTAAGTGCATTAGTGTGGGCTTCACTGAAGTACTTCCCATACTCTGAAGATTTTTTTGCCAGCCATGCGAGTGGTTGGCTAATCTTCTCTTCGGGACTTTCAGGGTTGTCCTCGTCATCTGCACCAATGTCTGTCTGAAAGTAACTCAGGTCTTCTGAAATCCACTCCAAAGCAGCTTGCATTGTTTTGTGAAGTTTTTTCAAAGGGCCATGAAATGGCTCCCAGGCATCTTTAACTTCCTCTGGAATGTAATCTGTCAACAGGTACTTCATACACTCTGAATGACCATTGGTTTTGTATGCAAACACCTCCAATGAAGAGATGAGTTTAAGAAGACTGCATCCAACTTCAACTTCAGCAAAAAATCCTGAATGATTCACATTTTCCATGTCTGCTTCAGCGGCTTTCTCACACTCTTGAAAACACTCTAGAGCTTTCAGTGCAGTCCCCATAGCATCTGCTGTATTTTGGGCTGTCTTTGGTACATTGTCATTGTCAATGGTTTTGCATTTAGCTTGGAACCATTTCCTGTACACCTGCCCCTTTGTGTCGAGTATGTAGGAGTTGTTCGGCCGCTGTTTAGCTGCTGTCTCTGCCCAGTGTTTTGCCTCTTCAAACTTTTCATAAGTATAATGAAGACGAGCAAGTTGTTGTGCAAAAAATGGATCTTTATTGAAACGCTCAAATGCCTCAGTGAGCAACTCAATTGCTTTGGCTGGGCTTTTCTCCTTTTCACACACGTGCTCAATAAGAGGAGAGAAAAAGCTGTCATATTTGTCTCCTTTGCTTATTCTTGATCTCCTTATGAAAAGTGCTCTCAGGAATGACAAATATTCGTCCCTTCCAAATCTGTGTTCAAATAGCACACTCTCACAGACCAATTTCATTGCCAAACTGCTTTGGGTCTGTTCCCCCAAAAGTTGTTGGAGAATTTCCTTGGCAACAAGTGGGTGGATGATTCTGATTGATTTAATGTGCGTCTTCTCATCTCTGAGATGCAAGAAGACCAGTCGAGCCTGGGGGCTAAGTGATTCCTCAAACTCATGTTGGTGAAACCTTTCCATGTGAATGGTTAGAGCAAGCAGGGCTTCACAATGAGACTGGGAGATGAAAGAGTTTTGAACATACGTGTTCAACAGTGCCACATAGAGGATGAGGCGAGTGACAACAGATTGGCGGTCAATGCCTTGAAGCAAATGTTCCACAAAATGTTGAACATAGTCAACATTGAATTCTTGACTCATCAGAACAAAAGTCAGAATGAATTCGGGTTCATATCGTTCTTCAAGTGCCTCTCGTTTTCCAGAAAACTTTCTCCTCTCTTGGTTAGACAGCTTGTGAGTGACGGACACATTCTGTAATGGAGACTCCTTGCATTTCCTCTCTGGATCATAGGACCT